CAGGAAATTCTTGTTCTCGACGAAGCCGATCGTTTACTTGACATGGGATTCGAAACGCAGTAAGTCAGAACCACCTTAGTTTTTAACTTGGTCTATTTATATAGCACCGTCGATAGAAGCCAGGATTGCAGAGTTGCCTATATTGTCTCAGATTTTGTTAAGTGTTGATCTGCGTGAAAAATTGTTAACCACTTTTCGGCGGAAATTAATATGCTTACTTCAGTTCAAGTTGTTTGGACTTTCGGGATGCACCTCTGATCCACAGAAACCGCCAGCATGTGGAGACTAAACCTGAAGGCTTTTCAAATATTAGTACGTATAAGTTAGCTAAAGCCCTCAAAATTTAAGGAAAATGTATATATAGAGAAAGAACCTAAAATTCGGTGGTCTTTCTTTGTTTATTACGGTGCATTTTAATTTGTGGGACACGATCAGAAGAGGTCGCCCTGCCACCTGTCATTTTAAGTTGCTTGTTATCCGCTTTGACCTAATTTAATATTGTTTCAAATTACTAGTGTGAATCCTTTTCATCTGGAAATGTATGCCATCTTGACCCTTTTAGGTTAAATTCCATCCTCTCACTATTGCCTAAACAGCGGCGTACAGGGTTGTTTTCGGCAACTCAGACAACTCAGTTAGATGATCTTTTACGAGCTGGTGAGTTCAGTTTGCTTTGGGGATGTTTCTGTTTTTCAATCTGGCCACGACACATGCTCGTCTCATCACGCCTTGATGCTTACATTAGCTTGGAAGACCAGCCGGATTATTGACTGTGAATTTCTGGAAGCAGTTCACTTTGATAGGGCGCGTTTCAATCGGCATGTCGATTTAGATGCCATATACAAACTTCTCAGGTACAAATTTAAACGAGCACAGCCAATCACGACGGGATGACAAAATGCACTTAACTCATTGGCGCAGGCGTCTTCCAACCGTAGAATCCTTTACCAGACACGGTTAATGAGCCAATTGTTTTCGTACACATACGTAAGATGGAGACTAGGATGACCATTTCTGGCTTATAAGCCTTCGTTAGCCGGTCATACCCAACCCAAAGTGGTGCCCCACCCGAATTTTGAACCCGCTAACTTGCTAAACGCTCTTAGGGAAGCTTTTCATCTAACGCTCAATCAGTGGACATGTTGACATGTCCGCTGCCTATCAGACCCTCAGGCTCTATTGAGGGCCATTTACTGCGAAGAAGAGTTAACTACTCACTTCCCTGTCTTCATCCTCCATTCAATAATCGGGCTCTGTATGTTCTGTACCGTCCGCACTTTTGACTAAAGTGTTTGTACAGTAGTCGCCGGTTATTAGGCCCACCTCGGGCCCAGACTAAATTGGGCTTAATAAGCGGCGAGTACTGTATTCAGAAAAAGGATGGAGTTTGACAACTATCTTATATCCTTGTACCTACAGAACCAGTAACTCATACCGGTTTAGTAATGCGTGGATCAATGTTGTAACCGAGGTCGTTCCTTTTCGTGTGGGCCACTGCGACTCCATACATTGCTTCAGTTTTCTCACCGATAAATTTGTTTACTGAATGCCGAATTGATACCTGTTATCGTTTTTGATCACCTATTTGTGTTCTGTCTTGAAGGCCTTCGGAACCCCTTGCGTATTGTTGTGCGGGAAAAGGATGCACCTGTCAAGAAGGGGAAGAAGTTAGCCCTCCAGCAACGGACTCCTTCAACTCTCGAAAACTTCTTCCTGGTAAATTCTTTATTTTAGCTTTCTTGCGCGCACTTAGATCGCTGTTTTTAGCCTTAAAGCTCGTTTTCTGTTTCATTTTTCTGCTATTGCGTGTTGAATTATGTGTACTGCATCAGAAATAAACTCCGTAACGGGAACCATTTTTAGTTTATCTGCCATTATTTCTCCAGGTTGTCGAACCGAACGATAAACTGGCTCTCCTGGTATCGTTTCTTCGTGGTCACGCAGAAGAAAAGATGCTTGTCTTCTTTGCATCCTGCGCCGCCGTTGAATACTTTACCAGGCTTTTTAGACAAGGGTTGCTGCCCAAAAGTCAGGCAGCCCTCGTCTACGGTCTACACGGTCGGATGCGACAGAAACGCAGTAGTGAATATGCGGCCTTTCGCGATGCACAAAAGTACGTACATTTATTGCTTGCCTACTGTTTGAAATTGAATAGGCAGTAATATTACATTTATTATACTTCTAAAACGACATTTGATGTAGAATGCGGCTGCCTGTCGTTCCCGGGGTATTATCATCACCTTGGGACCAGTTCCTTGACCTTCATAATATCAACCTGAACTGCGGTTACTACTATAACTCCCTTTTAGAAAATTTTTAATAATGTTTTTGGAAGGTCTTTGACTGAAGTCTACTGACAACGTAACATGTCATTTAAAAATCCCCTTTTTGTTAGTTAGTTAGATTAAGTAAAACATTTATACAGTCTGGAAGCAATGCCTTTAGTCGTTGGCGCGAAGGCAGAACCACTTTAATTTGCAGGAGGTGCAGGCCAACTGATTTTGCCAGTTGATCTGGTCACCTGTCAGACATCGTGTCAACAAACTAATGCTTTAAAGTATTTATCTCTATGGATTAATTACTAGCTTTCCGCTATCTCATAATACAACTGCGTTTTGTAAAGAGTGTACAAAAAGTTCAAGAGTGGGGCCATACTGTGCTAATAATATTTCTCCTGTTCATTAGGGGTGTTCTCCTATGCACGGATGTCATGGCTCGCGGTATCGATATTCCCCACGTTAATTGGGTCATTCAGTGGGACCCTCCATCAAAAGCAAGGTATGCCTTTTTTTCTTGCGTTGTTCCATGCAAAAGCAGGGCATTTGGCCACTAACATGCAAAGCTGCTCTTAGTGAAACAACGGTCATTGGTAAATCGGTGGAGGTCGCTTTTTTCGTTGCGTAAAATGGCTATCCTAAAGCCCGTTCCATAAAGTTTATTTGGATTGACTGATTGCCCTAGGAAGACCTGCCTTTTTGCCTTTAAAAGTTAGCTTCCGGATATTGGCAACACATACTATGACCGCCTTGGGGGATGAAAGTTGATTTCTTCCACCAATTTTTCATGAATGGATGTGGGCAATTAGCGCTAATATCGCGTTAAAGGTTATCTATTTTGTTGGCCTGGTACACTCAAACATGGCTGGTGCATGTTAAGTGGTACTGTCTTAACAGCTGGTGTATTTAGCCCCTCCCATGTGATAGACTCTTTCTGAAGTCTTAGGTTTCGACGTGTGTAGACTTGTTATCAGTATCAGTCTATTGAGGAAAGGATAGGCGAATGCCTTTGAGCTCTCTATTAGTAACAAGGTGGCTAGAAATACATGGATCGAAAAGATGGAAAAAAAATACTTCAATTACATGCTTGCAAGCGAAGAGTAAAAAGCCGGTGGGGTCAAGATAGTAATAAAAATATGGCCTCTTGCTTAGCACGAGTAACCCCCTACCTCCCAGGTTCTTATAAACATAATTATTTGTGTAAAATGAACTTCCGTTGGCCTTTTTGTTCCTTTAGTTTCTTCGTCCACCGGTGTGGTCGAACCGCTAGGTGTGGCACTGCCGGTCGCGCGGTCCTTTTTCTCAGTCCAAACGAACTCACCTACATAGACTTTTTGAAGATTAATCAGAACGTGAGTTTCCACCGAGTTTTCATACGCTGCGCCTCGCCAACTGCAATTCGTTCATTTTTGGTTATTAAGTCCAGAGCTCAAGCCCCGGGTCAGCTCTTACCTCCCATTGGTTTGGCTTATATATAGGTGTCGTTAACTGAGGTCGCTCCCCTCGACATCATTCCAGCCGGACAATTGAATGATCCTGCTTTGACCTCCACGGCCGTTCATGCAAAGGTTCAAAAAATTTGTTGTGCTGACCGGTAGGTGCTTCTAGCCTCCATGTCTCCATCATCGTCACCACAACCACTTTCTCCTCCTCCTCCCCCTATTCATTGTGATCACCATTGATCGTTTTAGATTACTCTACGAGAAGAGCATCAAGGCTTTCGTTTCCTTCATTCAGTTCTACCGGAAACATGAATGCACTCTCCTCTTTAAAGTCAAAGGTAAGTTCTTTCACTATGTGGTAAAAGAAACAATGCACTTAAATGCCTACTTAATGCATGTTAGTAGGCGTAATTTTGTATTTGCTCACAGGTTTTCGCCTTGACTCAGTGCAATAGCTCTTGCCTTTGT